AAAAAAAAAAAACAGAAATCCTCTAGAAGAGACTGGTGTCCTGAAAAGAATTTCAAAAATAAAGGAATAATTGAGAGTGTCAGAAAGGTCATCTAGGAGCAAAAATAAAGTCCATAAGGTCTAGCATTATGGAAGTCTTTGGTGACATTTTTTTCAATGTGGTTTAATGTGAAATACGGAGGGAGTCAAAACAAATTATAAAAAATTAATGATTAAATGAAAAGGAATAAGTGGAGATTATGCTTTTTAAAGTTTTAATCAAAGTTCCAAATAATTACTTTACTTTTTATTTTGGTTTTCTCTTTCTGTTCATTATGTCCCATTTCTTTCTTCCCATAGGTGAGACCTGGAACCCCTTCAAATTACAGTATCAGCTAAGAAATGTACGAGAGCGAATTGCAAAGAACCTGGTAGAAAAGGGTATTCTAACCACTGAGAAGCAAAATTTCCTACTGTTTGACATGACTACTCATCCAGTGACCAATATAACAGAGAAACAGCGACTAGTGAAGAAACTTCAAGACAGTGTACTAGAGCGGTGGGTAAATGACCCTCAGCGTATGGACAAGCGAACACTAGCACTCCTGGTGCTAGCCCACTCCTCTGATGTGTTAGAGAATGTCTTCTCCTCTCTGACAGATGACAAGTATGATGTGGCAATGAATCGAGCCAAGGACTTAGTAGAACTGGACCCTGAGGTGGAGGGGACAAAGCACAGTGCCACAGAGATGATCTGGGCTGTGCTGGCAGCCTTCAATAAATCCTAAAGCCAGCAGGTGGGCTTCTCCTTTTCTCCCCTGCTGGCGGGTGACTATTAGAGACCCTATCACTGAGTTTTGTGTGATGAGATGTTTTCATCCTTTTTTCTCTTGAATCAGGCTTGTGATCTGGGGAAAGCAACTTCAGGGCTTCTTCTCCATAGACCTTGAAATCAAGCAGACTTGATTTCTTCCTTTATTTCCACCCCATAGGTGAATGAACTGGGTGACCCCACACACATCCAATAAACATATTCTCCCATTTCTTGGTTTAGTTTCATCCAGTTTGCTTTTAGGTAAACAAGAATATCTAAGTGGAATTTGGAGTTCTTCGGCCACAGAATGTGATGAATTAAAGTGCAAACCATTTATTATATTTTTCTAAGTTTGTTTTCTATCTTAAATATGTTTTCCCAGTCTCTGTCTATGCTAAATAATGTAGCTTATTGGAAAGGGTGATCTCTGGGATTGAATGTACTGCTAGTGATTTTCTTATCTTTCCTTTTCTAAGCTAATAAGAATGTCCTAAATTTGATTAACTGGATTTCACAGTCCTAGAGCCAGAAATAGTATATTCTAAACTCCGTCTTAACATTATCCTTTTTCTTATTAATTAGGACAAAAGTGTAAATGAAAAAAATGTGTCTCTCAATCACCTCCTACATGCAGTCAACATTAGAATTTGAAAGAAAGGCTCGGTGCCTGTAGCTCAGCAGCTGAGGGCGCCAGCCACATACACCAAAGCTGGCAGGTTCGAAGCCAGCCTGTGCCTGCCAAACAACAATAACAACTGCAACCAAAAAACAAAAATACCCAGGCATTGTGGCAGGCATCTGTAATCCCAGCTACTTGGAAGGCTGAGGCAAGAGAATCATGTAAGCCCAAGAGTTGGAAGTTGCTGTGAGCTGTGATGCCACCACACTCTACCCAGGGCAACATAGTGAAACTCTGTCTCAAAAAAAAAAAAAGAATTTTGAAAGAGAGAAAGGGAGGTGGCATGAAAGTTTCCACCCTTTAGCACATGACTGACTGTCTTGTTTTCTCCATATTACAAAATGTCTCTGCTCTGAATTGAGGGAATTGTAAGTTTCAATTACTGAACATCAAGTGCTTGACGTTCAAGTATTTGAACTACAGATCTTCTTGTTCTTTATTTTTGACTTCCTACACAAATTGATAAATTCCGTCTTTATTTAAGTGTTCTGGGAATAGTTTTGTCTATATTTGATCCAGATAGTCCCCTAGTCTTCAGTCTTGCCTCAATAAATCATCTTTCTGGCAAAATCTCTAAAACATTTTTCATTTAAGTAGTTAGGGCAAGAAACTTTATTAAGAAAGATCTTTTTTGGCTCAGCGCCTATAGCTCAACCAGCTAAGGCGCCAGCCACGTACACCTAAGGTGGCGGGTTCGAATCCCCAGCCCGGACCCGCCAAACAACGACGGCTGCAACCAAAAAATAGCCGGGCGTTGTGGCGGGCGCCTGTGGTCCCAGCTACTTGGGAGGTGGAGGCAGGAGAC